ATTGTAACGGCTGACGAAGCTGCCATGTTATCTACATGTTCCCAATCAGATGTAGACATTTTTCCGTCAATGTTAAGTGTGATTTCAAGAGTGTCTTATCCACATGGTCTTGTTCAATTCGGAGCAATCTAATTCTCTCTGAGAGCAGGGCCAAGCCTGTCCTGAACAAGATTCGTTTAGCATTAGGAGATGTGACAGCAGCAGAAGATTTCATTGTAAAGGCGATCGGTATTACCTTGGAGTCGCGGCATCTTTTCAGAAATGTGACTGACTCGATCAGATGAGACTTCCTGTCTCGAAGTTTGTTGATTATTTTTTTATTTCTCTCACCGTTAATGTATGACCTAACCAGTCTTGGGCAATAGTTGTTAGCTTTGCAGAGAAGACTCAACATTACGAATAGCAGGCGAATGTGCGTGTTGGCCGGCAACTGTGCGAGGTCTCGATTCTATATTTTTTTTAGTTCTGCTATTGTCTATTCTAGATTTAAATCTTTCGTGACTGCTAGGATCCATACTCTTTGGTTCTATTGGGTAAAGTCACGTAGGTGAAAATAAAATAACAAAAAATCACGACGTTTCGGCCACAACACAAGCGGCCTTCATCAGGTGAAGGGACGAGACTGTCTTGAGGACATTAGCATTTAACATTAGCATTTAATTGGCGGACTTAGCAAGCTACCATTCTTAGATGTTCTGTTTGAGAGGAGACCTGATGGCTCATTGGGGCATTCTGTCTACAGGAAACCCACCCACACAGATTCCTACTTGAAACCTGATTCCCACCACCACCCAGCCCAAAATAATTCTCTCATCAAAACTTTATACCATAGGGCTCATTGCATTTCGGACCAACACCACCTGACCAGTGAATTAAAACATGTACACCTGGCCCTCAAAAGGAATGGTTACTCTGACCGTACCATCCGCCAAGCTGTCTCTCCCTCCATCCAGAAACAACCACTTGATACTCCGGTCAAAACCATCACACTTCCATATATAGCAGGCGTTACTAAAAAGATTTCCAAAATTCTAAACAAACACAAGATCCAGGTCCGGTTCAATACAGTACACAAAATTCGTGATCTGATCCCATCCGTGAAGGATGTCATTCCTGATTTACAGTACCCCGGGGTTTACAAATTGAGTTGTACCTGCGGTGATTGCTATATCGGTGAGACAAAGCGACATGTCTCTGACCGAATTCGCGAGCACAAATCAGATTTGAAACACGGCAAAACGAATTCTTCTGCCGTGGCTGATCACTGTTACAACGCTGTGGGGGATCACGATATAATTTTCTCCGATACCAAGGTTCTTTGCAAACCCACGGGCTTTTATCAGAGATTTGTTCATGAAGCAATTCAAATCTACAAACACAGACACAATTTCAACCGAGAGGATGGTTTCAAATTAAGCAACCATTAGAAAGATGTTCTAAATCGAACTAAACATTAAACTAATTTCAATGGTACAGTATATTTTTCAAGTAGTGGTACCCCAAACTTTCGCAGCTCTTATAAATTCCCTTTTCACACTATCAATAGGTAAACTCCCCCCCCCCCCGCGCCAAACGGCACGTACACCACCTCTTTCCTAAAATCCGCCAATCAAATGCTAATTTTTATGCTAATTTCTTTGTCAGAACAGCTTGTTTGCTCGCACACAGTTTAAAGGTCCGCTGTCTGAGCGTGGTTGTGTTTCGCTAAATTCTCCTGTTTGATGAGAACTAGGTGCCTCGGTGAATGTATATGCTCTGACTTTAACATAGCTATTTCTGTGACCAGTTACAAGCGAATCACTCAGCTATTTCAATGCTAAATTCTATGCTAATTCCTTTGTCAAGGGGTACCTCTGCGGATGTGTATACTTTAACTTAGCTATTTCAATGAACGATTTCAATGCTAAATTATATGCTAATTCTTTTGTCAAGGCGCTTGGTGTTTTTCTTCTCACACAGCTTAAAGGTCGTGATCTAAGCGTGGCTTCTCCCACTCCAGCGCTGTCCTCCAGACAGTCTCGTCCCTTCACCTGATGAAGGCCGCTTGTGTTGTGGCCGAAACGTCGTGATTTTTTGTCATTTTATTTTCACGTTACTAAAAAGATTTCCAAAATTCTAAACAAACACAAGATCCAGGTCCGGTTCAATACAGTACACAAAATTCGTGATCTGATCCCATCCGTGAAGGATGTCATTCCTGATTTACAGTACCCCGGGGTTTACAAATTGAGTTGTACCTGCGGTGATTGCTACATCATGAGATAAAGCGACATGTCTCTGACCGAATTTGCGAGCACAAATCAGATTTGAAACACGGCAAAACGAATTCTTCTGCCGTGGCTGATCACTGTTACAACGCTGTGGGGGATCACGATATAATTTTCTCCGATACCAAGGTTCTTTGCAAACCCACGGGCTTTTATCAGAGATTTGTTCATGAAGCAATTCAGATCTACAAACACAGACACAATTTCAACCGAGAGGATGGTTTCAAATTAAGCAACCATTGGAAAGATGTTCTAAATCGAACTAAACATTAAACTAATTTCAATGGTACAGTATATTTTTCTAGTAGTGGTACCCCAAACTTTCGCAGTTCTTATAAATTCCCCCTTTTCACACCATCAATAGGTAAACTCTCCCTCCCCCCCTTTCCCACCCCGCGCCAAACTGGAAGTCCACCGGCACGTACACCACCTCTTTCCTAAAATCCGCCAATCAAATGCTAATTGTTTGCTCGCACACAGGTCCGATGTCTGAGCGTGGTTGTGTTTCGCTAAATTCTCCTGTTTGATGAGTACTAGGTGCCTCGGTGAATGTATATGCTCTAACTTTAACACAGCTATTTCTGTGACCAGTTACAAGCTAATCAATCAGCTATTTCAATGCTAAATTCGATGCTAATTCCTTTGTCAAGGGGTACCTCTGCGGATGTGTATACTTTAACTTAGCTATTTCAATGAGCCATTTCAATGCTATATTATATGCTAATTCCTTTGTCAAGGCGCTCGGTCTTTTTCTTCTCACACAGCTTAAAGGTCGTCATCTAAGCGTGGCTTCTTCCACTCCAGCGCTAATTCCTTTGTTAAGGGGTACCTCTGCGGATGTGTATACTTTAACTTAGCTATTTCAAAGAGCCATTTCAATGCTAAATTATATGCTAATTCCTTTGTCAAGGCGCCTGGTCTTTTTCTTCTCACACAGCTTAAAGGTCGTGATCTAAGCGTGGCTTCTTCCACTCCAGTGCTGTCCTCCAGACAGTTTCGTCCCTTCACCTGATGAAGGCCGCTTGTGTTGTGGCCGAAACGTCGTGATTTTTTGTTATTTTATTTTCACCTACGTGACTTTACCCAATAGAACCAAAGAGTATGGATCCTAGCAGTCACGAAAGCTTTAAATCTAGAATTGTATTTTCACCTACGTGACTTTACCCAATAGAACCAAAGAGTTCTGCTATTGTCGTCCGTCTGGACAGCAACATCTCATTATTAGCACCGGAGCAAACAATCCCTTCAACTCATATTGTTTGGGTAAAGTTCTTCCTTCGTACCAGGCAAGAGTTGTATATTCTGTGTACCGCAAGGCCGTAGCCATGGAGTCAACATTGGGGGGGACCAAATCTTCCAGGGGGTCTGGGGATCACCCCACCCACAGAAAAAAAATCTAAATTTGAAAACGAATTTCCTGCCTAAAATATAAGAAAATTCAATAGCACATAGGATTGACTTTTTTTTTTTAACAATAATGTATAATAGTGTATTGTATTACAATCATATAAACAGAACTCTTTTTTATAGCAATATATTGGGGGGGGGGGCATTTAAAGCATATTCGGCCTTGGTGTACCGTGCCAAACCCCTCCCCCCCCACCCCCCAATATTCGGCCTTGGTATACCGTGCCAAACCTCAACTCGGGATTGTTTTGCAATACGTGAGACGTGTGATTTGTGAGTAGCAATGCCTAAGAGATGCAATGCCTAAGAGATGCAATGCCTAAGAGATGCAATGCGTGAAAGATGCAATGCCTAAGAGATGCAATGCCTAAGAGATGCAATGCCTGAGAGATGCAATGCCTAAAAGATGCAATGCCTAAGAGATGCAATGCGTGAGAGATGCAATGCCTAAGAGATGCAATGCCTAAGAGATGCAATGCCTGATAGATGCAATGCCTAAGAGATGCAATGCCTAAGAGATGCAATGCCTAAGATATGCAATGCCTAAGAGATGCAATGCGTGAAAGATGCAATGCCTAAGAGATGCAATGCCTAGGCGATGCAATGCCTAAGAGATGCAATGCCTAAGAGATGCAATGCGTGAGAGATGCAATGCCTGAGAGATGCAATGCCTGAGAGATGCAATGCCTAAGAGATGCAATGCCTAAGAGATGCAATGCTTGAGAGATGCAATGCCTGAGAGATGCAATGCGTGAGAGATGCAATGCCTAAGAGATGCAATGCCTAAGAGATGCAATGCCTAAAAGATGCAATGCCTAAGAGATGCAATGCCTAAGAGATGCAATGCCTGAGAGATGCAATGCCTAAGAGATGCAATGCCTAAGAGATGCAATGCCTAAGAAATGCAATGTCTAAGAGATGCAATGCGTGAGAGATGCAATGCCTAAAAGATGCAATTCCTAAGAGATGCAATGCCTGAGAGATGCAATGCCTAAGAGATGCAATGCCTGAGAGATGCAATGCCTAATAGATGCAATGCCTAAGAGATGCAATGCCTGAGAGATGGAATGCCTAAGAGATGCAATGCCTGAGAGATGCAATGCCTGAGAGATGCAATGCGTGAGAGATGCAATGCCTAAGAGATGCAATGCCTAAGAGATGTAATGCCTGAGAGATGCAATGCCTAATAGATGCAATGCCTAAGAGATGCAATGCCTGAGAGATGCAATGCCTAAGAGATGCAATGCCTGAGAGATGCAATGCGTGAGAGATGCAATGCCTAAGAGATGCAATGCGTGAGATTGTCCAGCGGGAGGCGTGAGAGTCGAGGGGACGGAGGGAGCGATGGGCTTGATAGGGAAGGGCGGAGCTGCGAGCAGCGGGCAAAGTGCAGCCTCTGCCGTTTCCGCTTCGCTCTTTCCCCCCAACATCATCATCATCAGCAACATCATCACCATCAGCAGCATCACCGTCACCGCCCTCCCCCAACGGATCTTGAATTTATCCGCCACGACCGCGGAGAGGATTGTGGGCGCCCTGAGATCTACGAGGACAAGAGGACTAACACAAACACGGGGAGAGTGAGAGAGTGAGAGAGAGAGGGATACAGTGAGACTGACACACACCGTGGGAGGGACGCAAGGTGAGACACAGACGCGGGGAGATGCAGGCCTGCGGGTGAACGGGGCCTACGGGGTCCCGCAATGTGTTGAGCCGAACTACGCCAGCGCTGACAGAGACGACTGCGTGAGAGAAGGAGCTGCTGCTGCTGCTGTTGGCGTCGGTGTTGAGAGAGGGAGGCTGCGGGTCCCCAGGGGGACCCCCCGCCCGCCACCCACCCCCGGCCGGCGATGGCGAAGGCGGCGAGGAGGCGCCCCGCGTGGGCCGCGAGGGTGCGGGACGTGGCGCTGTGGCCGGGCCCCGCGGGGACCCTGGGCCTGGAACTGAGCGGCGGCTCCGAGCGGGGCCTCTTCGTGTGCGTGGCGTCGGCGGGGGCCGAGCGCTGCAGCGGGGAGCTGTGCCCCGGGGACGTGGTGCTGGAGGTGGACGCGACCCCCGTGGCCGGGTTCATCCTCCACGACGCGCGGGCCCTGCTGCTGCAGCGCGCGCTGCTGCAGCAGCCCGTGCGGGTGAAGGCCGTGAAGCCCGGTCAGTCTAGCGCCGTGGGGCTCCTACACCACGGGACTAACACCACGGGTCTAACACCACGGGACTAACACCACCGGACTAACACCACGGGACTAACACCACGGGACTAACACCACGGGTCTAACACCACCGGACTAACACCACGGGTCTAACACCACGGGACTAACACCACGGGACTAACACCACGGGTCTAACACAGTCTAGCGCCGTGGGGCTCCAACACCACGGGTCTAACACCACGGGACTAACACAGTCTAGCGACTTGGGGCTCCAACACCACGGGACTAACACCACGGGACTAACACAGTCTAGAGACTTGGGGCTCCAACACCACGGGACTAACACCACCAGACTAACACCACGGGACTAACACCACGGGACTAATACCACCAGACTGACACCACCAGACTAACACCACGAGACTAACACAGTCTAGGGCCTTGGGGTCCAACACTACAAGACGAATTCTGATTTTAACACCATCCAGCATCACACGAAGAGTCGAATGTTGATAGTTTTAGCGCCATCGGTCTAACGCAGCAAGTTCAACACCTAGTCTCTAACACCGCATAACCCCAAGCCTCTACCCCTAAACACGTACCCTCTACTCCTAACACCACCCTAAACACCAATCCTATACCCCAGACATTCACCCCAAACCCCTACCATCAACACTGCCTCTCACACGCGAATGCCCCAAACTCTCTACCCTTAAGATTACGACTGTGCCCATAACACGCATGCTATACCCATGACACCGACCCTGTACCCCAAACAGTCACCCGACACTAACCCCCACCTCCCTTAACCCATTGACCTTGACCCTAATAACAAACACTGGTGGGTGGAGAGTGGAGACGCGGTCGCTAATGCACTGCGCAATGATCTGAGCGATCTGCGTTGAATTCTCGGCCATGGCTGTCGTAAGTGGCGAAGTGAGTGAGGTGTGAGCAGGCTCTGGGACTTCCCTGCACCATTCTGCATCTTCCAGCCACGCAACCCGATGACCAACACGGCGACGGTTCTGTTCATGCTAACAACCGGTTCCCCCATGCCATTCTGTCCAACAGCATCTGCTCCGAACACAAGCCTTGAGCGAAAGTAGCGCGGTGCATCCGACCTCCTTGCTTTGTTTAACAGGTCCCTGCAGGGTGGGCTGGTAGGACAAGTCTCTGCGCTGTCTATTGCTGATTTTACACCCCAACAGCACGAGATTTCACTTCGTTAAAGTATTGAAAGGGGACGGACGGACGGACACATTAATCTATTGCAGGCTGGTACACTCAGTTTACAACTTCGTTCCTACCAGTATAACGATCCATTCACCATACCAATGAACTCGCACAATCCCACACAAAAACTCACGAATCCACTCACACACCAAACCGACCAACAAGGACAAACACGTCCCTGCAGGGTGGGCTGGTAGGACAAGTCTCTGCGCTGTCTATTGCTGATTTTACACCCCAACAGCACGAGATTTCACTTCGTTAAAGTATTGAAAGGGGACGGACGGACGGACACATTCATCTATTGCAGGCTGGTACACTGAGTTTACAACTTCGTTCCTACCAGTAAATGTTGTTCAATGTAGACCCTGCAACGCGGTTGTTTCGCTTAGTGCAAGACGGCTGCACGTTACTGAGCCACGGCGATTAATTTGTGCCCGAAAGTGCTGCCCCCTACTTCGTGGACCAGAGGTCACTTGAAGGTGATCTCAGTGGAAACTCTCTGATATCCGCTTCTGCGGGCAGTTCTCCACCACGATGTTGTACGGTACATCTGAATTCATTATTCGTCTCGTGATGCAAAACTGTGGGGGGGTGGAGGGGCGGGGGGATACGTTTACATAGAGAACGAATAAAATGAATTCGGTCACATTCCTTGTCTTTAATGGTTGATTCGGCTCGGGCTATAGAGGCCAGGGTGCTGGCATCAACATCCTCCCCTTGCCTGAATGCCCATGGCCCCTGGGAGCTCACCCAGCAGAATCAGAATCTTTATTCATCCCAGAGGAATCCGATGAGCTATGAAGCTTTTTTTTCACAGATGTCCAGTAGGGACAGGTCAGAAAGTTACACAAATGACATGTGCCTATTTTGTATAAGGGTGCAATCATGTAAAGCATTTCAGATAAATAAGGTGCATATATTACATAAAGGCAGATTGATCAAGCTTTTTTTTTTAGGAAAACGCCCCTAGGCTATGATACAAATAAATCTGCCATGTTGAACTTTGATGAGCCACGTGCCCTCGTCCAGCCAATCACAGCGCCTTTGAACATGCTAACGTCTGAAAATATAGTTATATTGCCAATGCACGTGCAGCTGACATTCTCCCCAAAAAAACCCCAGCACATTCGACAAGAAAAACACTGGCTTTAAAAAGGACGAAAACTGTTATTGACACAATGTTTTGAATTTGTGCTGCTTGTGCACCACTGCTAACGCAGCAACATCACCAAACAAAATATTTCCCCAGTGTTACCGCACACCCAAATATGCGGTGCAACAGGAACAACACAATGCTGTTAGCAACAAGGTTGCGGCAACATTTCACTGGCCAATAACACAAACCCTACTCCTTTACTGTACCTCATATCCACGAGCCCAGCTTTACACTCTGTCTCTTAGACAAAACCTGTGCCCTGACTAACCACCTCAACTTTAGTTGTGACACTGACGTTCACATTAGCCCAAACACAATATCCACAAAACGGTATTTTTTTAAGCTGCCCTTTTCCAATCTATTATTAGATCATTGCTTGGATTATTATTGCGGTTATTACAGCCGCAGTAACGATCAGTACGATCTCTTGGTTGACTGCACTGCCGTTGGTGCAGTTATTTTGACGATGATGACACCAAAATGCGTGTGAATCCTGCCCACGAATCGATCAGGAACCAGCGGTACCAGTCTCGCACACCATTGTATCAGGCTTGAGCCGTGTCAGGGGTTAAAGCCAGGACTCCCATTGCCTCGTTGTGGCACTTGGCTCAGTGTAGCACGCCCACCATCTCATTATTGTATTAATGTAAATTGCGTTTGATTGGAGGCAGAATCGGGGGTGTGGCCGGGTGATTTAATAGTTATTGGTAAAAGTGCCAGGTATGGTGAAAGTGCCTCGTATCTAACACAGATGGCCTTTGCCGATAAACGTCTTGACACTATTCACAGTATTTTTCAAAGCAAGGCTGACTGCTGATGAGACGCCAAATGTCAAAACCGGTCCAGAGTTCGTAAGTATTAAACCAGTGCTACTAAAACACATCTCCCCGCAGAAGGACATGTGGCTCATGGGATCTTTAAAAATATACATATTTTTTTCATATGGAGAGACTAACGTGGGAAGGTGTGTTATTGTCTGCTTAATTATTTTGACATTGTTGAGGTCATGGATTGAAATTCAGCAAACCAACAATGATTAAACCTGGTTTACAAGCGTAGTAAGTGTAAAATTAGTCACCCATGACTGCGCCGAGTGTTTTTTTTCAATGTTATTTGCCTTTTCACGTTACTTAACATAAGCTGTCTTCTGAGATTGTGGGCGACGACTCTGTAAGGAGTATACAGGAGCGCCGGTGTTGGACAGAGGCCTATGGAAGTAATGCCAGGAGTGATTCCTAGTTTACCCGTCCCTCCGTAGTCTTGCCCCCCTAACCTCCAACTGAGTGTGTATGGTGTTCAACTTCTTTCGCACAGTACGGGGGAAGGACAAGCTAAACGCAAAAGGCATTTTGTAAAATAAATTCGTTTTCACTGTAGATTTAAAAGGGCATAGCTCCAGTGACTTTCTAATATCAGAAAGGAGAGCGTTCCAGACGGCCACAGAAGCGCAACTGAAAGCACAAGATGCGGTTGACGGTCTTTGTTCGATAGCAAGCCAAAAGCCACTGCGAGGATGACTGGAGTTCACGTGATACTTGACGAGATCAGCAAGGTGCTGTGGTTTATTTGTGGCACGCAGTTTGTGTGTAATGAGTGCGACATTACAATGTATTTATTTGGCAAACCGGAAGCCAATGCAGCTCGACGAGCATCGGACGGCCATGGTCAGGTCTTGCAGTCCCGTAATGACACATGTTGACGAGTGACTTGCTCCAACCATACAAACCCGCTCGCTTACTTGCTCGCCCTCTTCACAGGGCCCACTCTGGGCCCCCTCCGGCCCCCTCCGCGTCCTTCGCCCGCTTTGGGCCTCTATTGGTGGCCGCTCTTTCAGGAACTCCGCCAGCGCCCTCTGGAACTCTCAACTTAACAACGCCGCTCCTCCTCTTCACTTCCAGCATTGATGTTTATGCTTGATACCTATCTGTTTGATAGTCCATGCTTTCCACCCTTCCCAGATTTCCCTGTTCTATCTCACCCCAGCTATCGGGATGAAAGCAGCTGGGTGACAAGGAGATGGATAAACGTATAGCCATGGACACCGCTGGGTACATTTTGGGTCACATGGGGGGGGGGACCCTTCTTTGACTACATGGTTAAGTTCACTCAAGGTCCGTTTTCACCCATTTGCTGAGCACAGGCTTAAAGATCTAAAGTCTCGCTTGGCCAGTTACAATCAGCATGATCAAAGTTGTAATAGACAAAGAGTGTAACACGTTTATTTAATTGAGCAAGGTTATTATGAGAGCTTCGGGGAAAAGAGATGATGGAAAGGAATTACAAAGTTTGAAGACGCAGTGTGGTGAGTGGGTAAACAAGTGAGTGAGTGTGTTGTTGTGATCTGCAGTGTGGTGGTGCATGACCAAACGTGTGGATGAGATGAAACAGTAAGTTTGGTAGACAGTCCTTAACATGTGTAGAGGCTTTTTGATTTAAAGCTTTCGTGACTGCAGGGATTCATATTCTTGGTTCTTTCGGTAAAGTCACGTAGAAGGGAAACAATAAAAAAATATATAAAACAATAAAATTCTCACGACGTTTCGACTGCAACACAAGCAATCATCGTCAGGTGTGAAAAACACTTTTTTTCAAATTTTCTTGCTGTGGGTTTC